GCCTTGGAGGGTTGGAGGGTAAAAAGAAAAAAAAAAAAAAAAAGACCATGTGAGTTGCAGTTATATGGGTGGATGGGCATCTCAACTGCATCACTTCCTGAACTTATTTGAACTCCAGTCTATTCATTTTCAAAATGGGACTGATACTTGTGATGGCTATAGGCAGATGGCATAGGATGCGGTGATGTTTTTGTAAACCTAAAATGCCTTACAAATGCACAGTTAGTATTGCTTCCCTTTTCTGCTTCCCTTTCCCCTCCTTCCCCTTTCTACCTTTCCTCTCCATGCTCCTTCCTTTCCTCACCCTCTGCTCTTGGCCCCCCACCCCCACTTCTGTGTCTTCACAAACACTCACTCCTCCCTTACAGGGTGTCGGCCATTTCTCCGCATCTACCAGGCCATGCAACCTGTTTACACATCTGGCATCTAGTGAGTATTCCATGGGAACGAGAAACTAGAGATGCCCAAGGTCGAGGCCAAGGACCAGGGTAGGTGGGTGGGGAGACTGCCTAGAACCTCTTCTCAAAAGTGCTAAAGGGCTAGAGTCAGCAAGGTTTCCCAGTTGCCCTGTGTCAGAGGGGCAGCGGGGAGGAAGCACACCCCTCTCCAGCGGCCCTTGCTTTCTCTGCCCACCTCTCTCTGTAGCAACATCCCAGGAGACAGTCAGACCAGTGTCTGCATCACCATCGAGCCAGGACTGCTCTTGAAGGGAGATATCTTGGTGAGTGTGGCCCCTCTGTCTCAAGCCCCACCCTTCCTTGCCTTTTCTCTCTTCTTCCATCTTCCTGCTCCCTGTCTGCCTTGATAACTCAGCCATTCCTGGTGGACTGCCATCGTAGGTTCTCAGGGCTCCTGCAAGAGCTTCCAGTCTTGGACAGTCCTTGTCTGTTTCCCTGCCTTGGAGTTGGGCATCCCTCCCCCTGGTCTTATCTTTTCTTCTGGAACATTCCCAGTGAAGTATCATCCGGAATATTCCCAGTGAAGTATCATTCCACATGAGCTATTGCCTCCTGGTTTCCTGTTGGTGACAAGGACTCCCTCAGTCCTAACTTCGGTCCTTCCTGCTGCAGTTTAAGTCCTTGTGTGCCCCTCCTGCTGTGACTGAGTGCAGGAACTTCTTGGGGGGACAGTTCTGCCTCACAGGTCAAGACTGACCTCCAATTCCCTGCTGTTCTAGATGTTTCCCCAGAGAGCTCTGAGATCTTGTTTTTTGTTGGTGACCTCTCCCTCATTGGGTTTGATTGAGAATTGGGGCTCAGCTGATAAGGAGGCTTCCTGGGACCCGATTTGTCCACCCTCAGGCTCCTGACTGGCTCTGCTCCCCCTTTCCCCCAGCTGAAGTGCTACCACAAGAAGTTCCGGAGCCCAGCCCGAGACGTCATCTTCCGTGTGCAGTTCCACACCTGTGCAATCCATGACCTGGGGGTTGTCTTTGGAAAGGAGGACCTTGATGATGCCTTCAAAGGTGGGCTTCTTGGGTGGGGCTGGGGTGAGGTCTTCTGTGACAGGGAGGAAACTCAGTCTGAGCAATACGGTGGATGCAGGGACCCTCTTTTCTAAGCCACAATGACCTGCCAAGTCTCCGGGTGTTTTTGGTGACAGTGGGGGAGAACTGAAAGAGAACTGGGGAGTTGAGATTGGGATGGTCTGGGAATTCAAGTTGTCAGCAGAAGTGCAGATAAACCCCTTCCCAGTGCCTGGACTATGTTATATATTGCAACCTTCGCTGTACTTTCTGTGTCTCTCTATCTTGTCCTCCCCATGTGTCCCATGAGTTGAATGGACAATCATTATTTTTTCTTTTTAATATTCATTGGACATCTGCTTTGTGCTTGGCTTAGTACTAAGTGCTGAAGAGTCAAAGGAAAACATGACGTGGTCTCTGTCTTGGTGGAACTCAGAAATCGTGTTGACTGGGGAGGCAGGCCTGACAGGGTGGTCCACAAGTAGAAGAGCTAGAAAGTAGAGAGGCTATGGCAGCAGTGAGGGAGGATCCATTTTGTGAGATGAGAGGTGGCCAGGGTGCGCTGCCTTCTGCCTCTTTTTTCTATCCATTTGAAGTTTTATCTATGTCCTGTTAAGGCATGGGATATATACACATATCCACCCAGCCATCCATTTGTGCGTTCACCCACTCATCCGACCATCCACACATCCATCCATTTATTTACCCATCCGTACACTTACTCATCCACCTGCCTATCCATCCACTATGTATGCTTGCATTCACTCATCTGTCCATCCATCATGCATTTTTTACATGTGTCAGTGTTGGCCAGGCATGCTGAGTGCCTACAAGCAGACACTATCTTTGCTGTAACTTCTCTTCTATAAGCAGAAGATGATGAGCTGTGTCCATATTGGGCTCAGGCCCAGAGCATGGAGCAGGACCGAGACTTGGAGGAGGGGCTGAATCCCCTCAGTGTAGTCTAGTTGTTTCTGTTACGAGCTCTCATTACACCAGAGCCAGGAGGGCAAAAACAGATGAGGCTATCTGAATTACAGAACAGACTGCAAATGGCATTAGTCTTAACAAGGAAGCATATAGGTAGAGCTGGCAAAATTAATGGGGGTGGGGAGAGGTAGAGAAAAAGGAGGGTCACAGGTGTCTTCCTTTCACATGGCATTCAGAGACACCATCAAAATGGACATATCAAGAAACAAAGACTTTCTTGGTATTTAAAAACTATGGCATTGGGCCAGCCGGTGGCATGGTGGTTATGGCGCTAGACTCCCACATGATTGACCATGGTTTGAGTCTAAGACTTGGCAGCTTGAAAAAGATTGTTTTGGGTGCGTGTGTATGTGCATGCCCAGAATCCCAAGAGGAGAGTGGAGGAGTAGAGGAGAAGGGGTTACAGTGTGGCCGTCCCCCCCAGGGGGTGATTTCTCTCTCTCTCTCTTCTCCCCATGGCGAGTACACATGTCCTATAGCAAAAACCTATTTAAAGTTTCAAAGATAACCAGTAGAGGAAAACAAAACAAAACAAAATAAAACATTTAAAAAAAAAAAACCTAACCAGATTTAAGAGGAAAAGAGGTGGGAGGAGTGAATGTGAGCCAAATTATTCGTCTCCATAGTGGTAGCTCTGGGAGGTTATTTAAGATTGCTATCCAGAAATGGTGGCATAAAAACAGTAGCTAATATTCAGAGTCTTAGAGGTTAATGACTAGTGGAACAAGAAGTAGAAGTGGTTGGAAGTGGTTACCTCGGCAAGTAGGACCAGGGCTAGGTAGGCAGGAGGTTTAACCCCACTGCGCATATGTAATTTCATGTCCACATGTGCAGATACAGACATATCATAATTCTTAGATTATTCACCATGCATACATATGTTACTTTTATTTTGTTTAAGAAAAAGATTTTTATGGATTTTTTGGGGGAATTAATTGCCCATTTTTGTCTTTCCTTCTTTCTAGATGATCGATTCCCAGAATATGGCAAGGTGGAGTTTGTATTTTCTTATGGACCAGAGAAAATTCAAGGTAAAAGACAAATGAGAGTTCATTCTCCCACGTCTGCTCCCCCCATCTTGCTCCGTCCCCACATGCCCCCACCATTCTCCTGCTGGACTGCTGGGTCATTATCAAGCGACCTATGATTGAAAGGCAGGCCCGCAGTGGAGGATCTGGGCATCAGAGTGGACCCCTAGCTAAACATGAACCAGTCGCTTAATCTCTGGCTAAAAAAATAAGAAAGCAGACAGAGAGGCGCTGGGTTGGATAAACTGTTCTGGCCCTGGTAGGTCATCGTCCTGTTATATTCAGAGAGTGAGGCTCATGGTGGAGGGTGTGGCTGGGGGGACGCTCAAAGGTGTGGGGTGGATGATGAGTATTTATGAGTCCTGAGGCAATCCAACCTGAAGGCCCATGTAATAATAGCCCGCAAGCCTCTAGACTTAGGTTATATGTGGAGACCAGTTGTTCTCCGTCTTATCCGAGGGCAGAGTGGGAAGAGATGAAGCTAGAGGGACTCTAAACAGGCTACAGGAAGGACTGCCAGGCTGGGAAGGTAACTCAGTCTGGAAGGCCTGGCTTGCACCCGTGCTGTCCTGGAGCTTGGCTTTCTATGGGTGGGGAGGGAACTGGCCTCTCCCTGCAGGCCTGTTTTTAAGTGAGGGGCAGGGACACGCCAGGCACGACCTTTGGGAGGCCTTATATCCTCCTGGTGTCAAGGCTGTGGTCTCCTTGCCATCTCTGTCCCACTGCAGCCCACTATTATCCCTGCTGTCCCACACTCCCTTCTTCTGGCTCCAGGGCAGACTCTGGTCTCTTGATGCTGTCCTAGGGACCTCGAGGACACAGAACAGAAAGAGGCAGACACCCAGCCTGGGGGGCCCCTAGTTCTGTCCTAGGGGGTCCTCATTGCTCAATGCCTGTCCTGATTTACCCCTATGACTCGGCAGGAGCCTTTTCAAGAATGCAAGAAACTAAACTCCTGGGTTTTCCATCCAGCTTGAGCCACTGGTCCCGCCCCACCATGCTCAAGAAAAGGAGAAGTCCCTTAGGGAGCATCCTTGGGGGAGCTGGTTGTCTTCCTCTGTTTTCGCAGCTGCTGATCTCTTTCCCCTCTCCTCCTGTCTTCCTGCCTGCCCCCACCCTCCCCATCCCGCTCAGGCATGGAGCACCTGGAAAATGGCCCAAGCGTGTCTGTGGACTACAACACCTCTGACCCCCTCATCCGCTGGGATTCCTACGACAACTTCAGTGGGCATCGAGATGATGGCATGGAGGGTAGGTGGGGACCAGTGGCTTCCAGCCCCTGTCCAAACTGTACATCCCCAGCCCCAGCCTCAGCCCCATAGTCCTGGCTCTCTTGCTGCAGTACCATAATAGGTTCAGAGTGGAGGCAGAGGCACCTCTGAGAGCTCAAAGCAAACATGTGACTATGTTAAATGACCTCAAGGACAGAACTCGAGAATGTAGCAAAATGGCTTCACAGGGCTGTCATAGAGTACACTACTGCCGCTAAGTAAGTGACACAGACAGCAAGTCTCTGAGATTGGCAAGGAGAAATTCTTGAGAGTTGGAGTGGTCTGGGAGAGCTCCTTGGAGGAGGTGGCCTTGTGTAAAGTTTGAGATAAAACCCTCCCAAATCCTCCTCGCTGCAAATGCAGCATGTGATATGTTTCTTTTAAACCCACTGTTGGATTTCTTCAGGCTCGCTCGCTACCTGAATTCTCCAGGGCCAGAGCACCAGGACAGAGCAGCAGCATCTAGGCCCTATATGCTTTCAACAACAGCCAAGGAAAACGCTTGAGACCTGGAAACAAACCCATAGGCTCCAGAATTGGAAAAGAAAGCTGCAGAATTGAAATGGATACATGTTTAATTTAGCTACAGAGCCTAGTATTACACCAAATGGGCAACAGTAACTCAGGTCAATTCTCCAGAGTTCAAACTGAATTCTATTTATTGATGTGGTCCATTGAAATATGTGTGGTGGGGTGGGGTGCAGGGAGTGGGTGAGTGGGGCCTCTGGAAGTGAGCGTGCCTGGAGCCCAGGAACTCTTGGGATGCTGTCTGGGGACTGGCTGCGGCTTGTTTTCCTGATCCGGTTACAGGACCACAGGGTGGTGGAGCAGAAAGGATCCTCTGGTCCATCTGGCCCACCCCGATCTGTTTTCCGTTGGGGTAGTTGAGCACCTCCCTCTAAGTCGGGACCCCTACTTTATCTCCACAACTCAGGATGTGTTCTACCTCTCTCTCTCTCTTTCTTTTTCTTTCTTTCCTTTTTTTTTTTTTTTTTTTTTTTTTTGCCTTAGGGGGTGTGTGCTCCTTGGTGCCATAGGGCATGTGTGCTCACTGGAGAGAGAGAGACAGAGAGAGGAAAAATAAGAAATCACTCCCTAGGGGGATGGCCACACCACCGGTCCTTCTTCTCCATTTTTCTCTTGGGATTTTGGGCATGCACACGTGTACCCAGCGTGTTCTCAGGCATCTGGGTCCAGGACTTGAACCACAGACTTGGCCATGTGGGTTGCAATGCCTTAACCACCATACCACCTGCTGGCCCCAGGGATATGCTCTTTCAAGGATGGCAACACCCAGCCTCTGGGCTTCTCCTCCCAGCTGAAGCCAGTCTGGGGACCCTGGGCACATGGTAAGGCTGGGTTAAGGAGAACCAGGCTGTGAGCCCTCACTCTTCCCTCGTCCCTTTGCACCAACCGGTTTCCTGTTTTTCTCTTCAAGGGTTTGGATTTGATGACTCCACTCTGGAAGTCTTTTAGGCGTTGCTTTTTATTTTTTTTAAAAGTGTTTATTTTTTGAGAGAGGCACATCTCCAGTGGGGTCTTCTTGCCATGATCCACCTCAGCCTCAGCCGGCCTGGATCCTGGGCACATGCATGTGCACCTGGTGTGCACAGAGACCCTACAGGTCCAGGACTGCAGAGTGTGTGTTACTGTCGCCACCAACTGGCCCCTAGGCTTTTCCTTGAAATGTCTCTTACCTTGGGGGCACCGACATGAGCAGTGGATTTCAGAGTGCTGGGATGAAAGCGTGTGGGTGGACTGGAACGAGGGGTGTGTAGGGCACCTTCTTTCCGTGCAGCATGACAAAGTTAGGGGCTCATCCTCATACCTGCCCTAGTTCCCGTCCCCTTCCTGGTCTGCTTTCTGCCTCTCCAGAAACTTGGTGCCCTTAGATTGTCCAAGACAGCCCACCAGGATCGTCTCCACCCTGCCAAGGCTCCTCCAAAGCACCCCTCACCCCTACGCCTGCAATCCCATCCTCTTATGCTGAGTGGTTGAGTAGAAAGCAAAGGGATGAAATGAATTAGTGCGGAGGCACCAGTGGCTGCCAGCCTAATTGCTCATTGTTCTGGGAGGTTTGCATTTTTAACAAGGACACTTGGCGATTTGAAGGAATTTTTAATGTCTCCCCATCTCTCCCTGGTGCAGATTCAAAGCGATGATAAATGTAGAAACATTTAGTAAACCGTGACGGGCCAGGCAAATAAAAGGTAGAATAATTAAGGACACAGAGTGGATGTGGGAGAGACAGCTCGGGGCTGTGAGGGAGGGAGGGAAGGAAGGAAGGAGAGTGATGGCCAGAGCTGGAGAGGCCTGAGGACAGCAAGAGACAGTGAGAAACTGAGAGACAGCAAGAGGCATAGCTCCTGCCCCTGGCCCTTCCTCCTCTCTCCTCGGATCTGGATCCATTTCCTTAGGGAGGGTGATGGAGCCAGCGGGACCTTTTGGTCAGTTAAAGGTCAACTGGTCCTGCAGGGACAGAGGGGCTCCTGTCTGAGACTGAGAAGCTGGCCGTCTGCCTGGATGATAGAGTTCTTGCCCCTGCTGTGCTCTTCCCTGGCCAGCCCTGACTGTATGGCTGAGGCAGTCCCCAGGGGAAAGCCCACCCTCCTCTCCCTCCTGCTGGGCTGCATCCCCTCTGCCCTGTCCAGGGATAGGAGAATAAGTTGGGCCAGCCCTCATGCGTGGGAGTGACGTATTCCAATCCTGTTCCTGTCCAGGGGTACTTCCAGAAGGCTTTAGATTCTGGGCCCAGAGCTAAGAGTATTTCTCTCTGGCCAGTGGCAAGAGAGGGATGCAGGAAGCCTGTGTCTAACTTTCCAGTTGTGGGCAAGTCCTTGTGCCTCAGTTTTCCTGGGTACTAGCTGGGATAAGGGTACCTAATCCCTGAGACTCCAGGGTGCTCAGGAGATGGTGCAAGTTACAGTTTGGGAGGGGCTTGGCCTTTCCCTGGGGAGTCCTAGGGCTAGGACCTAGGGATAGATGGCCTCATGGGGCAATGTGGTGCCCAGGGTGGCTGGCCTGTTATCTGCGGAGGTCCTAGACTGGGCTTGGCAGGCTCACCATGAGGCCCTTTAGTGCAGTGGATGGGCATGTGTGTTCTAGAGCTGGACAGCCAGGGTTCAGAGCCTAGACCTCCCCTTTGGAGCTCATGCCTGTGGTCAGATTACTCAACCTTTATATTGTCTTAGTTTTTTCATCTACATACCTGGGACAGTAATTTACCTATTTCACGGGTGCATGCACTTGAGACAGAGAGAGAGAGAGAGAGAGAGAGAGAGAGAGAGAGAGAGAACCTCTCAGTGGGGTGTGCCCACAGCACAATCCTTTTTCTCTATTTCTCCATCACAGCAGGATTAGGGACATGCACACACATGTGCCTGGCATGGTTTTCAAACCACTGAGGCAGGGATTTGAACCACAGTTGGTCATGTGGGATCTGTTTCCCAATGCACAGAACTTAACTGTGCTATGAGGCAGGCCCTTCACTGGATTTGTGTAGCAACTTTCATGGCAGTTCAATGTTGGGAATGCTGCCTCTGGAGCCAAACCACCTGGCTTCAAATCCTTTGACAAGGTGCCTTTGTGCCTCAGTTTGCTCTGCTGTAAAACAGGGATTCAACCAACAAGTCATTTTAAGCAAGAGCTGAGGAGTGACTGCCTGTGGTGTTTCCTCAGGAGTGTCTGTCACAGGAATCATGGCTGTGGCCAGTGCCTCTGCAGATGTGCCTAAGGGAGAAGGCCTTGACTGAGCCTGCGCCAGCCACGGTGCCAAGAATGAGAGTTGCATTCTCCTTTGACACCCACGGCCACCCTACAAGGGGACACCGTTGTACCTGTATGGGGAATCTGGATGCAGGGCTAGCACTGCGCTGTGCATCCTGGGCTAGCCAGTGTCCCGGGGCCTGTTCTGGGCATCTGCCTCTGTGGCAATGCCCGGGTCCTGCTGAGCGTGGGTGAATATCAACCTCTTGCTCTCCCTCTCACCCCTAGACATTCAAGGTCACCCCTGTCCTGCCTCTCACAGTGGGGCGGCAAGGTGGGTGGTCGTAGCACCCCAGAGACCATGGAGCCTGCCTGTGTCTGGTATGCAGCCGGACTTCAGTGTGGGAGCAGACATCTTGCCCCAACACCTGGCTTCCACCACACAGGGGATGGCATGGGCCAGGAACACCTCTGGAGAGGGGCCAGCCTCTCCAAAAAGGTAGAGAGAGGGTAGTGTAGCCGAGGCAAGGTGGGGCCATTTCTGGAAGCAGCCCACCCCTTACCTCTTCTGTTTCAGGCTTGCTGGAGGAGGGCGATAGGAGAGGCCAGGTTGGTCCCCTCTGGAGCCTGCAGACTGACTCAGAGGGAGGGCAGGGGGCACTGAGCCAGGCAGTGGGGAACAGATATCATCTCTGGCCCGTGTCCTCTCGAGTGACCTGCGTCCCCACTTTGCCCTCTTCTGGCATTGAGTGGTGTTCAGCAGTGGGTCCAGAGCTCCTGGTCCCCTGGGAAGCCTTCCTGAAGGCAACCTAACCGTTGTCTTAGGACTGTTCTGTGTTTAACCCTTTTCTTGCTGCCCATAGTCCCCAATCCAGTTCCCCCAGCTCTAAGTTCAAGTTCAGGTTCAAGTAGAGCCCTCTTCTACTCCATCAGCATATCCCTGATCAATCTTAGCAGCAAAATGAAGGAAGGAAAACTCATAAGGGGCCTTCAGGTTCCCTGTAGGCTGACTTCCCAGGCTGGGATAGCCTGGGGCTGTCACAAAGGAGGTCTAGTGCTCTCCTGCCCTCTGAGAACACTGAGATCTGAGAGGGAAGGGACTTGCCAAAGGGGCAGGAAACCCTGTGAGGAACCCACCTTGGGGGTAGCTTGGCTCAGATTGTGCCAACCCCTTGTCCAGACGAAGAAACTCCAGGTGTGAGAAGGTCAGTGCTCTCACCTGGGGGCCTGAACTAGAGGTGGAGTTGATATGTGAATCCAGGTGTGTCTGACTCC